AACAAGCAGGACCAGAGAGCAAGGGTAAATGACTCCTGGGAGAGAGAGGCTGAGATGAGGCCTGGCATGCATCTGCTGTGGAATCCTTGGAGTCACTCTCACAGACAGTTTCAGACAATGGCGAGATAGAAGCCAGGACTGACGGAGATGGAAAAGAAAGGTTTGAAAAATCAAGGAAAGAAGAAAAAGGCTCTACGCTTTCCAAAAGCTGGCCTGGGCTGAGAAGATGAGTTAGAGAGGAAAATGTAGAGTCCAGGGAAGAATTTGTTATTATAGGACCTACTTAGGATTTTTTTTTTTTGTCGGTCGTGGGGCTTGAACTCTGGAGCTAAGCACTGTCCCTCAGCTTTTCAGCTCAAGGAGAGCGCTCTACCCCTTGTCCCCTTGTGCTACAGCACCACTTCCGGTTTTCTGGTGGTTTATTGGAGATAAGAGTTTTTCACGGACTTTCCTGCCCAGGCTGGCTTTGAACCACGATCCTCAGATCTCAGCCTCCTGAGTAGCTAGGATGACAGGCGTGAGCCACTGGCACCTGGCTACTTAGGAAATTTGTCGCCTAAGGGAAAGGAAAGAGAAAGGAAACAAGGAAGCCCAGCTAACTGGCAATTTGGGCATGAGGTGGGTAATGGAAGAAAAGTTCTAGTCAGGTGGGAAAGGAGAGAATCTTGAGCACAGGAAAACAACAGTGGATCAGTAACAAGATGCCCTTCCCAGGATGGTGTGGGAGAAGTCAGAGCAGGTGTGCAAAGTAATATTTTGCAGGAAAAAGCCTAAGGTCCATCGAAGATGGCACATCCATGAAGAAGTGATGGTTTCTATTAGAGGTAGGAAAGAGTCCTGTAAGATCAGATGATGCCAAGATGATGCCCACCCAACTAGAGCTCTAGATGTGCCATGCCACCAACTTGTGGTCCTCGTGTAGCAGTGCATGGCACCTGAAACAAACATAACACAGCCACACAGACCTTCCTGTGCAGCAGGTAGCAGGGTGACCAGAGAGATGAGAATCTCAGTGACTGGGTGGTTAACCTGAAGGACATAGACACCACACCGAGGCTGGCCAGGAGAAATGTGAAGCAAGTAGAGAAAGTGGAAGAACTAGAAATCTAAGAAGCAAAACAGGTTCTAGGAGAATGAGAGAGGGAAAAGTCTGGAAGATGAGCTAGTAAGATTAGAGCCCCCAGTGCGGAAAAGATTCAACTACAGCTTGTGAAATGTGGCCAGGCAGGGGATGGGCTGGATTGAAAAAGGAGAGAAATGTCCCTTGAAAGCCCTGAAGGTATCAGGGAACTGGACAGACTGTCACATGGGCAAAGGTGTCACAGGAGAGGAACATGGCTGGAGTGAGGGAAAACAGGACGGAGTGCATGGAGGTGAATAGTATAAGAACAGACACACACTTGTGCACCTGGACATACTCATGAAGCACGTAGAATGGAAATGGTGGAATAAAAGCACCTAAACCACAGATGAGGAGGAGAAGGAGGTAAGGCTAGACATGCAGCAGAAGAAAGAGTTGGTGGGGAGCTGGAGGACCAGGCCTGCCTGCCTACAGCCCTGAGGGATGGAGGCATGGACATGGGAAGTATACACAGACAGTATACATAGACAGCAGGGACACTGAGGAGGAGCAGGAGGGAACAGCAGTGTAAACTAAGGCAGCTTTGGCACAGTAGAATAATCTGGATGGAACTCACTCCTAAGAAATTCCTAGAACCAGAATCAGGGCTGCCACCAGCCATAAAAAGAGGATGCGGCCTGCACTAGGCAGAAGAATGTCACTTTCAAAGTTGTACCGGGTGTTATACCACATGTTGTGCTTAAGTAACCTTACCTGCAGACAGGGCCTTGCAGAGCAGGTGGAGCAAAAAATCCTGAGATGGGAACACTATCCTGGGTATCTGATGAGCCCAATCTCACCTCCAAAGGTCTTTATCCAAGAGAGGCACGAGAGCCCAGAGGGAACATGTGACAAGGGGCATGTGAACAGAAGTGGGAATGAGGAGGGGTAAGCAAAGAGATTCTCCCCCAAGAGCCTGCAGAGAGAGGACAGCCCCACAGAGCCCATTCAGACTTCAGACTTTCCCAATTGCATCGTAAGAAATCTGTGCTGTCTAAGTTATCACATGGATGGTGGTTTGCTATAGCAGCATTAAGAAACTAGCAAAAGAACTTAACTACATAGATTTCAAGTTAAACCTCTATTCCTAAAGCGTAAAACATCTATATAGAAGTCCAAAAAGATTTTAACTCTTCTTGTAGTGACTTCTTGTTCAAAAATACACAATGATTTCAAAAATGTAGATGCATCCCCAATTTGTTAGGATCTAAGTGTGAATTCTGCCTGTCTTTCCTACAATCTCATACCAGCCAAGGCATCAACAATACATCTGGCCTTCAGGCCAAGGGGGAGCAGTTTGGTGGTTCTTGCTGTCAGCACACAAGACAATGCAGATCTAGACTAGCTGTGCTCCTGATTCAAGACAAGCAAGGGCTGTGGCTGGTGCAAAGGCTGGGGGGCTGCTCCAGGCCAGAAACAAGGTCTCGGTTTTTCCTGCAGGAACTGAGCAGGCGCCAGCTCTTATTCCTACCAGGACATGAGGGCACATGTCTCCAGGCCAGAGTGAGCACGCTGTCTGGGCCATCTTAAAAGAAGATGTCAGGCATCTACAAGGCTCAGCGACACAAACACAGAAAGGAAGAGCCAGAGCTTGGAGCAGGCTGACAAGCCTCAGAAGAAATGCACACCTGCATCTGGGGCCAATCACACTGGAGGACTTCAGGTTTGAGCAGACATATATGGACCAGAGGTGATGAGCACCAAGGTAAAGAAAATGTTCCAGAAAACTACATGCGATAGTGAGCGAGCATGAGAGAATTAGCAGAAGGTGTAAGAGAGACACACATTTAATACCAACCCTCAGGCAAAAAGAAAAAGCAGTATTTAAAAACTTCAGACCAATTCAAGATAGTAGTCACATCTCACCAATAATCAAGCAAAAATGTTTTAAAATCTTCTCTGTCAACAGAAGGTGTTTATACACTTGTACACTCATTATCCCAGATGGTTAAATAAATTATAAAATATGAAACACTTTCTTTGGTTGTATACAAAAAAGAAACTTAAAATAGATCTGTAGATAAGCAAAGATCCTTGTGTGCAAATAAAATATGACATACTTTCCTTAAAGTAATATTACACACATTTTCTTGGTAGAATATGTATCTGACATGAATTGTGTATGTATATATGATGGAATTAGGAATATGTAGGGTAAGTGTCTTTGGTAAGTCATCTAAAACTTGAATGTCATTATGGAAGCTGTATCTTAAAAATAAAGTTCTACATTCTTGTCTTCAGAATAGTTTTCCATCTAGATATGCAAACTATTTTAAGTGTTATTTTCCACACTTCAGTGATTAAAGCTAGAGAGTTCCATCACATTGGCAGACCTGAATGGATAATACTAGCAGAACAAAATGAGCATTTGCAGTCAGGCACAAGATGTCAACAGGAACCTAAGTTCAGTTCAGTACTCCTCCTTGGAAGGCTGACAGGAACCTGCCTTTGTTACCAAACTGAAGCTGTCAAATATAAATCATGGAATGTTTTTTTCTTAAAACTTAAGTGTCAAAGGCTGGGAAGGTGGCTCAGTGGTAGAGCGCTTGCCTTGCATGCATGAGGCCCTAGGTTCGATTTCTCAGCACCACATAAGCAAAAAGAAAAAAGCCAGAAGTGGCGCTGTGGCTCAAGTAGTAGAGTGCTAGCCTTGAGCTGAAGAGCTGAGGGACAGTGCCCAGGCCCAGAGTTCAGGCCCCACGACTGGACCCCCCCCCAAAAAAAACCTTAAGTGTCAAGATGGAGTAACAGTATCTTGAGCGAGCCTAGACAGCAAGAAGATCAGGCCAAGTCAGTGGGGAGCAGCACTGCTCTCCTCACTCAGTGTCAGATGAAGTCTCCTCTCAACTTTGGGGTGCTAGCAAGCCCACCCCACGGACTTTACATCACCAACTAACATGTGCTTCATATTGCTATTGTTTTGTTTGTTTTGGTGGTGGTGGTGGTGAAGGTAGTTTGTTGATTTAACATTTTTTCCATCCTAGAATGGCTAAATATCACTGTTCACACATTTACAGTTGTGTTATTAGTCAAGGAGCATCCATGAGCATGGATGTCCTGTCCTCAGCACTCTGTGGTCTCCCAGACTCTCGACCTCCATGGGAACTCTTCACCCAGCCTTACTGGCCATGAGACCCTCTTTCCTTCATTCAGTAAATAAAAGGCTTTAGCTTCTCACTATAGATCAAAATCATAGAATGTGTTAAATCCAATGCAATTTTTTCATATAAACTTCTGAAACATTGCAAACACACCAAGAAGCATTAGAGCAGCCACACACACACACACACACACACACACACACACGCATGCACACACACACACTCATCTTGGTTAAGGCTGATCCCTATTGCTGCAAGACTTGGGGGCTGGCAGTCACAGTCAATAGCTGCATTGTACATCCTTCTAGTCAGGTATAATGTGATTTATGAGTCCAATATCTCATCTGACACACCCTACCATGCAGCTCCTTAAAACTGCCCGAGGTAGTCCTTGGGAGGACATGTATAAGTGATACTAGGTAAGGTACGTGTTTAGTATATACACATCACATCCTTTGCCTCATATGCACATGTTAGTTAGTGTTCCCAGAATCCAATGATGAAGGGAAGGGACACTCTTTACCTCAGAGATGAAAAAAAGAAAACATTGTACCGGGATGGCTGAAAGACTTGTTTACATCTGAGAGCCAGGAAGTAGCAGTAACAGGGCGGCAAACCCAGGTTCCAGTGCACACTCTGATCTCCTGTGCTGCATCGTTGCCTAGCCCGGTCTACAAGTTCGAATGGGTCAACTAGCTTTCTAGGCAAAAGTAGTCATTTTAATTAAATGTCCCAAGTATGGATTCCTTGCAAAACCCTTAAGACTTTCAGTAGCTGACCTTGGAAAACAGCTCCACAGGTGCAGCTGTGGCCTTTTGTTCTTTTAGGTACTGCTCCCAGGACCACGCTTTCTGTGTTGCTGTAGAAGGTGCTGGAAGAAAAAAAAACACAGTGATTAATGTAAAGCAATGCAGGACAGACGAGTAATAACATTTAGTGGAAAGTAAACTCAAGGCGCAACCTAATGAGTGGGTGATCAAAGCCTCTCATGAGAGACTCAGCCTGGACTGTGTGAACAGTTAGCCAAAACACATCCCCACTCCTCACTCTACTTACTGTCCCTATTTGGGGAGAGGGTGAGGAACAGAACTCACCCTCCTCATAAGGGTGCAGGTGAGCAGTTACAGCATGCCCTCAAGGATGGCAGGCAAAAGGATTTGCTTAATTTTAAGGTAACTAGCCTGAAAACTTCCATGCTTCTTTTTGGTGTGAATGTCAGTGGGTACAACCTGTCAGAGGCAAGATGGCAGTATTTGTCAAAAAGCCTCAGAATTTTCCCACAGTTGGAATCAGAAATTCTCCCTCCAGGATTTGTCTTAATGAAATCACAGCTGACCTGCCACAGGACAAAATGCAGGGTTTTCTGCTATAAGTCTGCCTAATAATGAAACATTGCAAACAAATTAGAGGTCTACCAAGGGGAATTAATTAAATGTCATTTTAATAATAGGCAAGAAGATTACACTGTGGAAGGTTGCTGAATGGCTAAGAAACGTTATGTTAATGATATACTGTTAAATGGGAGGAAACGGTTAAGGAAACAAAATGGTCCTTTTTGGTAAATATTCAATGGATTAAAATGAGACTAAAATTTGTCAGTTGAAATCTTCGAAAAAGTATTTTTTTCAAAAAATCATATTATCCTTTTGCATGAAATTGCAGAGCTTCTGCATGGCAAAGGACATAGCTAGCAAGATCAATAGAAAGCCCACGGATTGGGAGAAGATCTTCACTAGCCATATAACAGACAAGGGTCTCATATCTAAAATATACCTTGAACTCAAAAAATTAAATCCCCCAACAACATATCCTCAAAGAAACAACTGCCCAATAAATAAGTGGGCTAAAGACTTAAAGAGAAACTTCTCTGAAGAGGAAAGAAGGATGGCCAATAGACACATGAAGAAATGTTCAAACCTCAATAGCCATAAAAGAAATGCAAATCAAAACAACACTGAGATACCACCTCACTCCAGTTAGAATGGCTATAATCAAGAACTAATAACAACAGATGCTGGAGGGGATGTGGACAGAAGGCAACCTTACTGCATTGTTGGTGAGAGTATAAACTTGTTCAACCACTTTGGAAAGTAGTATGGAGGTTCCTCAAAAGACTCCACATAGAGCTCCCCTATGACCCAGCAATCCCACTTTTGGGCATTTACCCAAATGTTCACAAACAAGACCACACTAAAGCTACCAGCACAACTATGTTTATTACAGCATTATTTACCATAGCTAAGATATGGAACCAACCCAGATGCCCCTCAGTAGATGAATGGATCAAGAAAATGTGCTATATATACACAGTGGAATTCTATGCCTCCATCAGAAAGAATGACATTGCCCCATTTGTTAGGAAATGGAAAGACTTGGAAAAAATTATATTAAGTGAAGTAAGCCAAGCCCAAAGAAACATAGGTCCCATGATTTCCCTTATTTACAATAACCAGTGTATGTCTGAGTCAAGCAGAAACGGTCAGATAAGTTGATGTTAGGGGAATGAACCCCAAGATAAGTATTCAAATGTTTTTTGTTTTTGTTTTTCCTTTCATGCAATTGTTTCTATTATATTTATAAGATGATTTCTATGCTGCTTTGTATGTCCCTCCCCCACAAATAATAATAATAATAATAAAGCCACAGAAGATGGACTATCATAGACATGTAAGAAATTTATCTTTCTATACACATATTTTCCTTAGCAGGTATTGGGCTTGAACTCTGGGCCTGGGTGCCGTCCCTCAGCTCTTTAGCTCAAGGCTAATGCGCTACTACTTGAGCCACAGCGCCACTTCTGGATTTCTGGTGGTTTATTGGAGACAAAAGTCTCACGGACTTTCCTGTGCAGGCTGGCTTAGAACTGTGATCCTTAGATCTCAGCCTTCTGAGTAGTTAGGCATGAGCCACGGGTGCCCAGCTGTCACTTTCTGAATTTAATAAAAACAAGTATATATAAATTACTATATACTTCAAACACTCATCTATTTATATATTTATATATTTATAAAACACTTCCACTGTGGTAAATGTGTGCCAAACACAAAGGCAAATGTGTTTATACAGAAAATTCACCAGAGAAGGAGAAACAAAGGAGGAGGCTACAAGGCTTGATAAGAAATGTACTCATTATCTTGCCCATGTAATTGTAACCCCTCTGTACAGTATTTTCACAATAAAAAAATAAATAAAAATTAAAAAAAAGAAAATTCACCAAAGCCTGTAATCCTAGCTTCTCAAGAGGCTAGCATCCAGAGGATTGCTGTTCAAAGCCAGTGAGGAAAATATGAGAGAAAATTACAGAAGTCTCTGTCTTTAAAATATGCAGCAAAAAGCTGGCTTGGAAGCATGGCTCAAGTAGCAAAGCACCAGATAAACAAGTGACCAAACAAGCTGAGTAAGAACAAAAGGCCCTGAGTATAATGAAAGAAGAGTAATAGGAATGAGGGAATGGGAGGGGAGGAGAGGGAAGGGAAGGGAAGGGAAGGGAAGGGAAGAAAGAAAAGAGGAAGGATTAGAAATAAAATATTAACAGTATTGGGATAGTGGAATCTGGGCTAGGTGATAGGATGAATGTAAATAATTCTTTGTATGCTACTTTTTATACTTTAAAAACTCATATTTTTCTTTTATCCCGTACACAGCATCCTTGGAAAGTCTGAGAAGTAACTAACATTTATCTTGCTTGCAATGTTCCAGGAGCAGGTACAGATGGTCAGAGGTCAGACCTGTATCAGCACTGGTGGTGACCAGTGGCCAAACACGTGAGCCTCTCAGGCCGTAAACTAACCTGATGGGGCTACAAACACAATACGACAAGTTGTGCAGGGGGATTTATATAGACATCTGTTCACTTACAAGGTGTTTTCTTACCTTTCTTTTAATGAAAAATCACTGTCTACTAGAATAAATGTAGAACCCTTCCTCTGGTCTAGTAGATGAAAAGTATTCGTCATTAACAAAGAATCTAAGTTTGGATAATAAAAGAAAAATGCTATCAATTTATAGCTTCAACACAGAAAAAAAGCACAAGAGTTCAACTTTACCATCTGTCATAATATTAACCAGTTACTTCCCAAAATACAGTACCAAAGTAATAGAATTCTGAAGTCATCAAGACTAACAGAATTATCATCAATGACTATGAAATGATGATTCATGTCTATAATCCTAGCAACTCAAGAGGCTGAGATGTGAAGGATTGAGGTTGAAAGCAAGGCCAGAAGAAAAGTCTAAGAGACTGGTATCTCCAATTAGCCAGCAAAATGTTTGGCTGGTGGTGTGGCTCAAGTGATAGAATGTTAACCATGAGCAATAAAGATGAATGAGTGTAAGGCCTTGTGTGAATTCACGCCTTGTTACTGAGAAAAAGGAGAAAAAAGTGGAGGTGGAGGAAGATGAGAAGGGGAGGCAGAGAGGAAGGATGAATAGGAGGAGAAAGAGGATGAAGAACAAGGAAGAGGAGGTAGAGGAAGGGGCTAAGAAGAAAGAGGAGGATGAGGAAGAGAAAAAGGAGGAGGAAGATTAGGAGGGAAAGGGAAGGAAGAAGGAAGGAAGGAAGGAAGGAAGGGAGGGAGGGAGGGAGGTAGAGAGGAAGGGAGAGAGGGCAGGCAGGAAGACAGGCAGGAAGACAGGCCATAGATATATTTTCTTGCTATGTTTGGAAATGTTGTGGCATCCTGACCTGGTGGAGATCTCTACCAAGAAGCTTCTGGTGTGTGGCCATTTCTGCATCTCACCACATGACATTTATTTTGCCAAAGAGAGGAAGCAAACACTCCGGTCAGATTAGTTAACTTCCCTGTTTTCACACAAGGATTTTGCTGCAGTACAATTATGTGCTTTTACAAGAAAACATTGTGGCAGCATCAACTCAAAGGCAAATATAGATCGCTCATTTTCTCCAGCAGCTGTGTTCTCTAAAAGATTGTGTGTAATTTCTCACTTTAATCAGATTTCCGATTGTCATATATTGTCATTTCACCAGAAGTAAATCATATCTCTAAGAACTCTTTTATGATTACATAAGTACGCAGAAAGCCTTTAAAATTTATCATAAAAAGAGTACATAATATCAGACAATAAAAACTTCCCATGAATTACCAACTTTACTAAAGGCATAGAATTATTGCCCAGTATGAGGCCTGGACAGGTTCTTCCTAACAGAATCCCAAAGGCCTTGTGTCTCCATAGTTTCTCCCTGCAGTGCTTTCTCCTTCCCTTGGAAAATACATTGGTTGCAATTAGTTCACTTTTTTTGTCTTGATATAGGGGACCTTGTTATGTTTTCCAGGCTGGCCTGGACCTACAATCCCTTAGTATCCCCAGGGCTGGGCAGCAGGAAGATGAGCCACTATGCTTGCTTTCCTTTTCTTATTTTGAATGAGAACATAACCCTCTATAAAGAAGGGGGTGTGATTGACTGTGTTCTTCCCTATATCCCTGGAGCTGAAAACTTCCCTAGCTACAAATACTTGTTTAAGGAGTTAAAGGGAAAGAAAGGAAGCAGAGTAGCACTTTGGGTCTTAAAATGAATTCTAGGATATCTGTTTGCATCAATTCATGTTTCAGGTTCCTGGAGAGAAGGAACCAATTAAGTAGGGTTTGGCCACTCATATTTTATACAGTTCTGAAACATGCTATAGATGTGGCATTCATCCTGTAGAGTATACAGGTAACTATGTTAACTAAAATTTCATTTCTTTCTACTATACTTACTGGCTTTAGAAAAATGTTCCAATTTTTCTTCTTCTGTGACATATCATGTAGTAGAGAAAATATGTAGTGATTTTATATTATCACTCATTTAGTATCTGGCTATTATATGCTTGATGCTAAATGTGGTGATTGGAGTATGTATGCGTGTATGTGTGTGTGAATGTGTATACACGTGTGTACATATAACCATATATGTGGGTATATTTCTATATTTTTGACACTGTTGCCCATGATGGGCTTGATCTGAACTCCAGTGATCTTACAGACTTAATTTTCCAAGTTTCTGGGACTACAGGTGTATACTCCTATGCCCAGCTTCCATTTACTTTCACCACATTGAATATTAAATTAATAATGCAATTTGTCCTTCTACAGAACTGAAGCTCACAGAGCCAGAAATCTGGATTTAAACAAAACTCCTGGCCCCGGCACATCCACCATACAACCCTGGCTCACATTAGCACAGAGTCAAAACGT